CGAAAAATCTCCCTGTGAAGATGGAACCGTGCCAGAGCGGCATCAAGGTCATTGAGTGTCGTTTCATCAAAGTCGGAACGGCGAGCGATGTAGCAGAAGTCGAGAAAGGCACCCAGACACATGACCATTTCATCTGGAACGAAACCCACGATGGCGGGGAGGTAGACTTTCATCAGTGCCTTGGAATCATCACCGGTCCACTGTTTGAAACGTCGACCCTGTTTGAATCTGCGGAGACCCGGAAACAAGGGTGTGGCAGCAATTCTACTCAACACATGTCAGATTTCAATGACGTGAAAGGGGATTTGTTAGGCACGACTTACCGACGGTCAATCTCATCCAAAATCTTGTCCGCCCCCGTTCGGCCGTGCTCAAGTTCCAAGTATTCCCCAACCCATGTGACCAAGTGGTCCTTGAACGTTCCTTTGATGACTTGGTGTAGGAGATCCGATGAGATTAGTTCATGGATGTCAGCGCGGGGGAAGTCGCATGTAAAGGGCTGAAGTGGCATGAGTACAGTGACATGTCTTGTCAGATGTACAGAATTCTTACCACAATGTCTTCATCAATCCCAAATTCATCCCACAGTTGCGTTCCGCTGAATTGCTCCAGCAAGGTTTCCGTAAGGTCATGTCGCCGTGGACCACTTGGTGGGTCAAGCTTATTACATAGTGACGTGCATCTAACAAGGAGTCAATATAAAAACATTGGTGACGTGTATTATGCTGCATGCATACCTGGGACACCAGCCTTGAACAATCCCTGTAAGCATAACCTGTTCGGGGTAGTCGGCGATGAAGGGACCAAGATCGTAGATAACTCGACGAAAATGCCCATCAGGGCAGCGGCGAACAACAGGCTTCTTCATCGCCGCCTTGAGTGGCGAAAGGATTGCTGAAATTGATGCGTGAAATAGTTGACGCTTGAACTTGCGGAATTCGGGATCACTGTCGTACTTGCGATCACCTGGTTTCAATCAGTATAATATAAGAGGGAACTGATCATGAGAGAGCACTTACTCTTTGGAATGGCAAAAAAACCGATAGGAATCACGCCCTGTCGATGCCCACGACGAGCGACGTTGTGTAGGTTCCAGGAGAGAGATAGAATGGGTGGTATCCACATCTCCC